ATCAGGGACATTTTGCCGATCACAGGAAGCCATCGCACGCCCAGATCGGACCATAAATAGCGGAGAAAATGAATATTTTTGATCCTTGATATCCTTGGTCCTTGAAAAGGACTTCGAAAAATCAGGGACATTTTTCCGATCACAGGAAGCCGTCGCACGCCCAAATCGGCCCACAAATACCGGAGAAAACGGCCAAAATCTGAATGGGATACCAGGCGAACAGAAATGAGCAGCAAGCAACTGCAGCAATTGCAAAAATATTTCGCAGCATACTTTAGGGGGCTCCAAAATTTTTTTAAAAAAATTCAGCGACCTTCTGCTGATTTCTGTTGGCCTGGTGTCCCATCCAGATTTTGGCCATTTGACGCGAGGTTTTTCACTTTGTACGGTGGCGCCCCCATCGGCGATTTCTTGAACTACATTTTTAAAGATAAGCCAATTTTGTTTTCTCCGTTATTTGTGGGCCGATTTGGGCGTGCGACGGCTTCCTGTGATCGGAAAAATGTCCCTGATTTTTCGAAGTCCTTTTCAAGGACCAAGGATATCAAGGATCAAAAATATTCATTTTCTCCGCTATTTATGGTCCGATCTGGGCGTGCGATGGCTTCCTGTGATCGGCAAAATGTCCCTGATTTTCTGAAGTCCTTATCAAGGACCAAGGATCAAGGATATGTACTCCAGACATATATATCTTGTTTTCTCCCTTATTTGTGGCCCGATCGGGACGTGCGACGGCTTTCTGCGATCGGAAAAATGTCCTTGATGTGATGGAGTCCTTTTCAAGGACCAAGGATATAAAGGATCAAAGATATTGATTTTCTCCGTTATTTGTGGGCCGATTTGGGCGAGCGACGGCTTCCTGTGATCGGAAAAATGTCCCTGATTTGATGGAGTCCTTATCAAGGACCAAGGATCAAGGATATTTACTCCAGACATATATATCTTGTTTTCTCCCTTATTTGTGGCGCGATCGGGTTGGGCCATGGCACCCCGTAATCAGAAAAATATCCTTGATCCTTCGGTAAGGACTCCACCAGCCCCAATCATACTTATGTGGTTTTATCGGCTGTTTGTTGGCCGATTTGGGCGTGCGACGGCTTCCTGTGATCAGAAAAATGTCCCTGATTTCATGGAGTCCTTATCAAGGATCAAGGACATTTTCCCAAATCAAAAATAATTAGTTTTATCCGCTATTTGTGAACCGATCTGAACGTGCCTCGCCTCTTTGTAATCTGGATAGTTTTCCCGATACAGGATACAGCAAGGATGATTTTACAATATTTTTATTCATCATAACTAAGCTTAGTATAAATAAATAAACAAGTGAAAACCATTTTTATCTACTGTCTAAATGAATAGACGCTTATATCCTTAAAACTAACAAAAACAAGATTTATCTAGAATCTAGTAGCATCTAGTAGAATCTAGTTGCCATAGTCGAAGTCCTTGTTGTCGATGGCCAATTCGAAGGATACGATAGCTTGCTGGGCTCGCTTCTGTCTCGCTGGGATAGGACTCGGTCTGTCTCGAATATGCCTTTGTTATGTTTGGATAGGACCCCTTCTGGAGGAGTCGGATACCAGTTCGTATAAGTCCAGCATAAGTCCTGTGAAGGAAAATATATTTTAAAATTGATCCACAATTATATGCTGATTTACTTACCCTTTTTCAAAGCTGAAGCCCAGCGTTTGATTCGGCGGCGTGTGAATGCGGGGATCCTGACTTTATTTCCCGTAGGCGTGAACCAACAATTCCGCTGTTGATCACTGGTCCCTGCTGTAGCGGACGGGTTGTCGGCATCATGGAAAAGTAAAGGTTAAAGCCTCGCGCCGCTTATCTGGGGAAATATATCATGAAATATGCTCTCAGAAGGAGCAATTTGTTATCTCTATTGGAGCTGGTTTCATCTGCCCTCTATGACGGGCAAACGGGTCAGATAAGTGACGGACTTGCTTTCCCAGGTAGGATTACAACATACACCATATACATTTATACCTTTTTTTTTTTCTTTATATTTGCGGCATATGGAACGGAAATAGCGAGCACTGGCTGTAGAGTGGTCTAAGCAAGCCGCATTTCGTAACTCTTCCAACTAATTGCCATAAGCCGTTGGGTAAATTTGTACACGCTTTTTCGCATCTACCGGCTCAAACGTTTGTTTTTACACAACTAATCGGCTTTGGGGACAGCCTGGCCACATGCACTGTACTCCAGCGGGTCCTACTCGGGGCCCACGCCCACTTCCTCCTGTCACTTTGTTCTCGTCCTTGGCGACTTTATTGCAATTGACTTTGTCGAGTGGCGCCATTTTTTACTTGAATGATTTGTAATCCCTGCTGCCCCGCAGGCTTGTGTCAATGGCGGCAAATTAATTTCCATTTTGCGATTCCTCTTGCCCGACAGTTTATGAAGTATTGGCTCCTACCCGGCACTCCAGCACCCCCCACTCTAATGACATATTCAAATAGCAAGTTTTGTTTTAATAAGTTAAGCTGGCTGGCATTTTAATTAAAAGTCCTTTGCATAATGGGCGAAAGAGTTGCCTGGCTTTTATTCTGGTTGTGCGTGGGTCAAAGCCGGGCTAATTACTATACTTGGGTTTCATGCTGTAAAAGGACATTTTGGAAACACAAAGATTGATATAGAAGGCAGAAGGCAACCATGAACCATACAAGGCTCCCACAGTCTAACAAATTATAAAGCTATAGTCCATAAACTTAGCTTTTATTACCTTACCTTACCTTTAAGCGTGTGGTACTGCTGGTTCAGATTGAATTAAACCACTGGAGAGACACTAACTAATGCTGGCCACTGTGAAAATAAACCAATTTCCATCTCACATTGCCACCCAAGGGAGCTGCCTGTCAACCACCCGCTCCAAAATTGTACCCTTTAATTTCCAGTTGAAAGCAAACAAACTTCTGGGTCTCCGAGTGTGCCGACAACACTCATACGCACTGCTGCACACACATCTCCATATACGAGTGCGTAGTACAAGCCCTTTTCCAATTGGGCCAACGATTTTTCGTCAGGATTTAGCAGACTGGTAGAGATTTTGTCGACCATCTCTTGGTATCTGCTGGCCTGGTACATAAATTTTTTATTTTGTTGGATTTTTTCCAAATAGTTTTGTTTACTACACCCTAAAATGGGGTACTTTAATTTTGATTTTCAGTTTGCAGCCACCTTTTCAAGGATTTGTTACTTCCTAACTGCCTGGAGGGCTTCCTTATAGGAAATAAATACTCTTTCAATATTATTTGTATTTTCCTTACTTGCCACTGGTTGAAGAAGGTACACCTCTGGCCTTTCTGATTGCCTGGCACAACGATTTTTTCGTATAAAAATGGCCGAAAAACCAATTAAAATAACAAATAAATTGGGTTGCATTTCTTTTTCTAAAGATTTGACTTTGCCCCTAACATACCAGGCACTCATAAATGGCAGGAGCATGCTCTTTGATACATTTCTGTAGTTTATATGGACTTGTACCTCCACTTTTTGATTGGTCGAAGAATTGGCATGCGGCAAATGCAAATTCCCCAAAGATGCCTCACAAATTGCCAACTGCAATAACAAGAATATGAACCGTATTGGATTTCCGGCTAGGAAGGCATCTAACGAAATAATACTTTGTTTTTATAACAGATTTCACTGGCTAAACAAATTTGTGTTTTAATTGGAATTCCGTAATTTACTAACAGGAAGAAAAAGAGCTTAAACGAGCTTATCTCAGCTGTCAGGCCCTTTAGCCACTTTAAATGTATTATTTATTCTGTTGCGGGTTCGCTTAATAAGCTTAATTAACAGGAAGTATAGGGATTCCAATGTCCCACATCCAGGGATCGGACAGAAGGTCGACTTCCACCTCGAGTTGAGACCACTTTTGATGGACAGTCGCTCCGAATGATTTGTTGACTACACTGAGAGATATTGAAAACTGTGTTAATAAAAACTTTGGCTAAAGCTGAAAGCAGTACACGAGTTGGTGGACTGTTGGTGGAAACCCTCGACTAGATACGACTTTTTTGCAGTGCACCATTTGTTGTTTGAATTTATTGTTACGTAGCTGAATGGAATGCAAACACATGAGAAATACATAAATCACGGAGCCTTATCTTCAGGGCGATTCCTACGCTGCCTCGGCGGGTCATCCATGATTTATGTCAATCCGCAGCCTCTCAAGTCGCTTATAATTATGAGAAATCTCCCTCTGGCACTCTCCAATGACTCACTCAAAGTGGAGCTGCCTCCCGTTTTCGGGGTCCTTGTTGCGGGACGGCGCTACTTGACACAGTTTATGGATCGCTCTTTGCATCACAAAGGAAGCCCGAGGATAAAGGGTCGCAGGATGGCAGACAAAAAAAGGTTGGGAAAAGATATGGCCAAAGCAAACAACGAGATTCAAGAGATCTTGCAGGGATTTTTTGATTTTTAATTTGCGCCAACGTCACGACAATCCTGGTAATTCAGTTTCCCTTCCCTCGTTCCGTCCGGGTCCGGGGCCGCGGCCGGGACTCTCCTGAATTTACTGCAGCGTTATTCCAGTCGTCCTATGACAGCCTCGAGTGCGAGTGCCAGTTCGAGTACAGAGAATGCTGCGCTTAGCACAAAATTCGACCAACAACTGGAAGTATTTTTAATGCACTCTATTCTCCTTTTTGTTTGGTGTGGTTCGGTGTGGTGCGCCGTGGTGCGGTATTTCTTTTTGGCAGCCGCAACGAAGCGTGTTCTCCGGCTGACCATAAAACCATTGTCATCAGATATCGCAAGTCAGGGATATAAATAGGAGGAATAGGAGAAAATGTTGAAATCGCAAACGCAATCGCAATCGCAGCTTGCAATTTGTGTCACGGGTTTTCCAGCAAATGCAGGAAGAGATGATTGTGCTGGCACCCGGATAAATATATTTTCTGTGGATCTGATTGATTGATGCAGCAGCAAGTGTTAGCTGGTTAAATAGTTTACAAGACTACAGTACTGTAATGCCTCAAATTATGTTAGTTTTATAGTTTATTCTTCGTATTGAATGACGTTAAAAATAAGACCTTACAATAAAAACTTGACAAGTTGAGAGAAAGAGAGAGTACGAGTACTTGTACTCGAGGACAATCCGATATTCGGTTTGTTCTGGTTTAGCTTTAAAAATGGCCTAATTACGTTAGCGTTAATACAACTCGATAATGGCTTAAATCTACGCTGCGGTCTGGGTCTCGTTGTGGGCTGTACCCTGTTTTTAATTGCCAATGCAATCCAAGCAATAGGCTTCTTAGAAAATCACAATGAAATTATAGCTAGCTAGGGACTGAACGGACTAAAAGTGGGTGACGGTCCTGGGATGGGTCGAGGCTGAGGCTGTGGCTGTGACTGAGGGCGAGTTCTACGAGCGGCGGCCGAAGAGCTTCAGGGGCGTCTTCCAGCAGCTTGGCCATCAGAGCTGCTCGTTGCCAATGTGCGTGGTGTCCGTGGGCAGAGAGTGGGTCTGGGGGAAAGAGAGTGTGGTGTGGGGTGTGTGGTGTGTTCCTGCTTATAGGGATCATTGGGGGTATTATGGCGACGGAAAACACTTACCTGCAGCGCCTTGCGTTTGTGGTGCATCGACGAGTTCGAGGAGGACTTGCCCTTGCCCTTCTTCCACGAGCAGAGGAGCAGCTCCTTCATGCCCTTGCGGAAGTTGCGACTGAGGAAGGCGTAGAGCAGGGGATTCACGCCCGAATTGAAGTACGTGACCAGAAAGGTGAGTGGCGTTAGCAGCGCATTAAAATTGGAATCACCGCGATACGAACGTGACCTGCAAAGGCATAAACATGGAAATAACTATCTATCCAAACGTACAATATTCAGAGTGCTGCCGTGCCATATGTAAATGACCATCTGTTGGGCTCGTTCGCTACCGAAAAACACCCACGGCATTAAATTAAGCTCAGCCCAGCGGCGGCTCCACTCGAATATAGACCACACTTTGCGGTCTGACCCCAAAGTAGATTAGAATCCCCGAACACCAAACTTTGTTGCCCCCTTTCCTACGAGTAACGGGGAAATGGCATCTCCCACACAAAAACTCGAGCTCCGAACTGGAGTTTGTGCTTCCAAATTCATGGGCAAGGTCCTTCGGCGAGGCGCTCTTTTCCCCAGTGGCATCCATTAATTATGCACCGGAAAGACTGTCACAGAGTCTGCTGCGGGTATATATTTAATTATATATCCACTTGGCGAGTAGCATTGAATAACCGACTGCTCATAGAAATCTGAAATCTAGTCCGGAAATATCGTATTCACTCAGCTGTTACACCCAAAGAGGACTACTCCGACACTTTCATGGTTCGCCTCGAACACCTCTGCCTGCTGCTGGCCAGGTGATTAAGCTGCTCCTGTTGGCCCTATTGTTTGCAGGCCAAGGGGCCAGGGGCCACGGACCAGGGGCAAAGGGCGGCCAAGAACTTGCCTAATGTACCAAGGAATTTGGCCAAAGGCAAAGTTTTTCGCCGCCTGCGAGAACGCAGTACAAACTTTGACCAAAACTTTGCCATGTTCCGCAATATTTAAAGCAGGAGAAGGACCAATCTTGTCCTTTTTTTACTGCTTTTCTGTTCTTACCCTGTAGTTGGAAGAGTCTATACGATTAGTGATAATTCATGAAACAGATCCGATCTACTACTCAAGACTTATATATCGAGATTGAGATGAAAATCTAATGTAAAATATATACAAAAGTTTTGCCAAAATTCTATGGATTGTCCTTTATTTAATTGTACTCTGAGTGTAGCATAGACGAAACTTCGACTTTAACGAGTATTCTTTCAGTTGTTTTGTAGCTTTGGACTGGGCGAAAAACTTTGAGCCAACTGTCAAAATGTTTTGCAGTTGTTGTCCGCCGACAATTTGAGTTGCACTTGCAAGTGGCACAAGTCCACAACGACAGACAGGGAGGAGGCAGGAGGGGACTTCTCTCCAGCAGCAGCAGCAAGATGGTTCTGGTGGCAAGCTATCTGATTGGGGCACTTGAGCAGCGGCCTTCGCTTTGTTGTCGCCGCCGCTTGAGTCTTGAAGTGGCTTTTGCAATTTGACAACAGCTTCTGACCAAATTTAAATGCCCCTCCGAAACGGGGCCAGCATATTTATAAAGTGTGCATCCCGGCCGCCCCATGGGGTGTCCATTGGGCGTATCCGGGTCGCTATCCCTGGATCCATCTAATGAGGCGACAGTTGGCCACCGCTGGCAGCTGTTATCGCTATCACCGAGCTGGCCTTCAGTGTCATCGTCATCGCTGTCATCACTGGTCTCCCTAAGTGGTTTCTGGGCTAATAATGACCACGTGAAAGCAGGAACAGAGGGACGTAGGACGGAGCGCCGAGAGCCGGGGACCGAGCAGAAAGTAACCCAATTGTCAGCGCGTGGCAGCTTCCCGGCATGGGGAGGCATTCACAACACGATACCGGAATGTGTCCGCTCTGACAAGTAAACGTATGATGGGGCCACCAGAAGGGATATCTGAATTCGGAGATCCCAAAGGGGTTGGCGTTGAAGGTGACTCCATTATGTTGTTTTTCGGGGACAAATGTATGTCCCAGGACACTAGAAACTGATTAATGGCCAGCTCTCTGGTATGCCAGCTATTTATCTTTGTTAGGCTCTGTCCGCTACTAAGAGTTTTCCAATTAAACAATTAAACATTTCTCTACAGATCTGCAAAGTTGCAAAAAGTGAATGAAAAATAGCTGAAACGCATTTCTATTCTATTTCTGTTTCTATAAAATCTATGTTTTGAGTGTAAATGAATTGTATTTTTGGAATAATTGAGAATTATAGCTAATACTTAGAGCCCTGCATAAATCCTCAGACTTGATTGTTTTAAAGGTTTCGCTTTGGCTGCCCATTCCCCTGCCGTTTCCATTTTAAGTTCCTCAAATACTTGGGACTTGATATGGGACTTGGACGTGGACGCTGTACGTGTGTGTAAACACGGCATTGTTGGTCCTAAAATGTTTACTTTTCGTGGAGAGGAGACCGCACTGCCACCTGCCAGGACAGCTGCCACGAGCTGTCCGAGAGAGGGCTGTTGAACCTTCTCATTCAACTGTCCGTTAACTGTCACATAATGGCCAAGTTAAGGCAAGCAAGCAATTCCCACTCAACCGGAACACAAAAGCAAGCAAACGGGAAAGCACAAAAATCACCAGAGAGTGAATCAGAATGAAGCAGAATGACCGATGCGATGCAATGCGATGCCACATTGAATTAAAAGAATTTTCGAAACCCCGTCAATTTTTTATGAAGCTATTTTTGTCCGAATCCGTATGAGAACGAGAATGGATAGGTGAATGGATGGATGGATGTGCTCCCACAATTGGACAATTTATTGGGAAAAATTCTTCATTTTGTCGGTTCTCTCTTTTATTGTAATTGTTGGTAATGGAATTTGTTGACATTTCGATTTTTCGATATGTGCGGGTAACGAAGAGCATAGTTAAGGAGAGTGCATGTCCAGATTAAAGGCGGATATTTTTAAGAATATTTAGAATGATTTATGATAGCTTCAGACGCTTTTCGGCCCAGTATTATCCGCTTAAATTTACATTATTAACTTTGCTAAAGGAGTAATTATCGCTCTCTCTTTCCCTTCCGCCCGAGCTCTACGTCCGTCAGCAAACAGCAAGAAAGTCCACCCAGATCGTTTTCATGCGCCGCCCACCCAAAAGCACACACAATCCTGGTGCTTAAATTGCCTCCATACGCCCCCGAGAAAGACGCCCACTCCTCAATACCCCAACGAAATTGGAGCCCTAAGCTAAAAGGAAGTTGGACTGGACGTCTGTCGAGGGTATCGTTTTATAAAAGGATGAGGAAGAGGGAGATAGAGCGGAAAAGCGGCAGAGGTCTTAAGTCTTTCGACTGGAACGGGATTTGTATAAATGAAAGTGTTGGGAAATCAATTTAGCCCACGGAAATTAGCAAATGCGTATAAAGCGGTCCCTCGCTCCATCGGAATCAATAGACGACTTAATTGTTTACCAGCCAATGGTCCGATCCCTTCCATGGGCTTATCTCTGCGCACATCCAGATGCTAATTTCACCCGTCTATCGACAGCCATATATTGTATCTGTACGTATGCAAATGCAAATAAAAACAAGAGCGAATTCCACAGTAGAAACTTCGCAAAGGGAATACCCTAGGTTGGTAATATTTGTGAGGTATCTATGGAGGTAAATAAAAGTTATGCAGTTGCATCTTCCTAATGAAGATTGCACATTTTGGAGGCATTGTGTTTTCTGCGTTGGCCTCACAATATAATATACCCGAGTAACTGAAGAATCACAGGGCATTTCAAATTGTTTACACTCAGTCAAGGTGGATTGATGATAGGGTGGGCGGATAGCGGTGAATGATAAATGGAAGGGGCAGACACTACTCACCAATACTGCCACATTTTGCGAGCATGATACGGCAGATTGCAGAGGGCAAATGTCAGCACGAATATTATCAGCATACGGACGACGCCACGGCGGGCGCGCAGGACGTTGCTCGAAGAGTGCGACATGTGTGTGGCGCCGGCCATGCCCATGCTACCGCCGCCGCCTCCATTGCCCTGGCGCTGGTGATGCGCATGTGGATGGTGATAGAAGCTCGTCTTGCGACAGGCGCTGACAATCGGGCGATCGGCCTCCAGGGATACCTGACAGAGGGAAGGAACAGATTGGAAAGGCCATTACGTTTCTGTGCAGCAGTTGGATAACCTATTGGTAGTAGACATTCGGTTGAGATTGAGCGGATTACCTACCTGGCAATTATCAAGCTAATTTGTGGTGGTGTTTTGTGTGTTGTGGTGGTTTTATTTGGTGGGTTAGTAGAGTGGGAGAAACCAAACGGTGTGGTGTTATTGATCAAACGAAACGCAGAGAGAGAAGAGTTAAAAATAAAGATAGTTAAAGATAGTTCAAGATAGCTCTGGATCAAGGCTGAGAAACGGGGATTAATAAACCATTTTTTCTTGGTGTATTTATTTACTGGGTGGTGTTTGCTTGAGTAATATTCCTACAATAATCTTTCGGTGAACCAATCTAAAAGTTCTCCTCCACCCCACCCCAAAATCTGTCAAACTATAAGCCAGATGGATTGCACTGTTCGCCAAGTTCGCCGAGTAATCATTTCTATATTTTATTGTGTGCTGCACTTGGCTGTTGAGGCAAGTAATTCAACCTGCAAGCGAGTGCCCATCTAAGCTCCTGTCAGGCACTCAATTGGAGCCGCGTCCGCGAGCAAGCAGCAGACTTGGACTTGGAGCAAATAAAGTATACGCCAGGTGTGCTTGCTCCGACCACCAATGATGGGAAAACATTTCTCGCTTTTCCCAACTTGTTTTCTTCTCTGGCCCACACAGTTTCCTGGCCTGGCTGCTGATTTATTTCTGCTTTTACCCACGGGACAACTGTCAAGCGAACTGCTGCATTAATGGACAGGCAATAGCCTTAATGGCCACTGACACCTGCTTCAACTTGCGCGAATGAAATCTTTGGTAAAAGTTTATACTATTGACATATCTGCACTCTACTCGTATATGTATTCGAATTTAAGAAGGCAACAGCTGAATTTAAAGCTGCTCTGACCATCTCAGCAAGCAATTAAGGGACAAAGCTCTCTCCTGTTTCCATTTTTGCATATTTACGAGCATATTAACACGGTTATAGTTTCACTTGGGACCCTGGCCATTTGCCCTTTCCATTTTTTGCATATTTTCCCCGACTTGTTTGACATTCTTTTTTCCATTTTTTCTTTTTCGATTTTTTTGCTCGCCTGCGATGGAAAAAAAACTCACCTGGCTCTCGGTGATGCTGACGCCGCGCTTCTCGTATTTACTGCTCTGTTTACGTGACAAGGACGCGGTGCTACTGCTGCCGGAAGCAAGTGACGCACCACCGCCGCCACTCATTCCCATTGCCAGGCCCACTCCCACACCGCCTCCTGTAGCCGGTCCCGATCCCGCCGCCGATGCTGCTGACACCGCTGATGGCAGCTGATGATGATGATGCGCGTGGATGTGGTGATGCTGATGATTATGATGGTGGTACATGCTATTGTGCATGCCCATGCTGTTGTCCTGCCCAGAAGGATGATGCTGCTGCTGCTGCTGCTGCTGAACCACATGCGGTGTCAGTCCTCGGGAGCTGCGCCACAGGGCGATGGCAATTTTGCTGTACAGCACCTGAGAGCACAGCATTATAGACGATTAAAGATTAGTAGGTACTCGAAAAATATATCTTTTACAATTGAAATGAATATGGCATATCACGCTCGAGAGTCGTGTAGATCGGGAGAGCGAGCGCGGCGCCCGCTCTCAGAGCGCTAACAGTGAGCTGTTACTTGCTGCAGCCGCAGGCTGTTAACAGTGAGCTGTTAACAGAAAGCGCTAACAGGCTGGACTGCTAACAGCGCTGTTGCCCTGCTGAGAGCTGCTCCAAAGTCCAAAGTCTATTCCACTCACCGTCATCACCAGCAGCGGCATGACATACAGCAGCACAAAGTTAATCATGTCCAGCAATTTGGAGTTGAACATCTCACGATCCAGCACACAGATCTCCTCCTCCTGGCCGTCCTGGGTGTGGACGTTCTTGATGGTCTTGCTGAAGACGAACTTGGGCGTTGAGTAGACGGCCGATGTGATCCAAACGGTGACAATGACCATCTACAAGAAATAGAACAGCCATTCTACATTGTTTGCTGATGAAACACGCAAGCAATTTGTTGAATTCCAAATGAACACACACAAAAATTTGCATGTAAATGGCTGGTCGCCTCCCATTTGGTTGTCTTCATGTCCGTTGTTGTTTAATTAGGGGCCATCACCATTAACAAAACGCATTTTTAGTTTGCCAAATTGTTTCATTTGCCTAACAATGTGTGGGAGCCCCTCCCAGAAGGTGTTTTTGTTGGGGTTCTGGGTGGGGTGGCTCTTGGTGTGTGTTCTGGGGCTTGGCGGTCGGGGGTCGGGAAAAACTTTTTGTCAGCCAGAAAGTTTTTGCCTCATGGCTTATTAAGCCTTTTGGGGCATAATTTTTGTTGGGGCTTGTTCCCTTTTTTTGGTGGGGTTCGCTTTAATAAGTTTCATTAGCTTGCAAATTGCGGTCAAAATGAGTTACCAAAGTTGTGGAAAAATGGTAGAAAATTTAGTGAACAGCGAGCAGAAGAAAAGTTTGAATAATGTCTGCAAATTAAATGGTACTGTGGGTGGCACAGAGTATCAATAGATCGAAAAAGTATGGATGCTTTTGGATTCAATAAAGAATCCATTGAGCATTGGTAGAGTGCCGCCCATTAAATGTTCATTGACGTGCCTCGAACTATCGTGCTAGCAATCGCTTACTTTGGCCATTCTATTGTTGTCTGGCCTCAAGATCGAACTGTTTCTAAATGAATGAACTCACCCTCAGACGTGCCGCAGTCAGGATCTGCTTGCAGGTTATGGGATGCACAATGGCGAAGTAGCGTTCCATACAGATGACGACCAGGATGAAAATCGATGCCGTGTAGCTGAGGGAGTGCACAAACTGGTACATGCGGCACAGGAACTCGCCAAAGACCCAGCTGGAAAGACAGAAAACCATACCATACCACCCGATGAATATTAGTAATTATTTATGGCCAGAAAGTAGCTCCTTTTAAAGGGACACTTGTGCGCCGGGGCCGTGACTTTAGGGCCCGGCGTCACATAACATTTTATGGAGACGCCCACGAAACTAATGCGACATTAAAGGTGTCGTTAGTATTTTATGTGGCGAAGAGCTTTTCTTTTTTTCTTTCCTTTTATTCTTTTTATACCCGTATTATTCTCCGGCCAAAATTACATTAAATGGGGATGGAAGGAGGGGTTGGATCATTGTATTTGGGGATTAGCACGTAATTCTATTTGTGGGCGGCTGGATTTCCAGGACGGTGAAAAGTGGGTTCTAATAAGGGGAAATTGTGATGCTTATGTGGTTTGATTGCGGCGCACTTTCGCTGTTCAAAATGATTGCCGTTGCCCTGTTGCCAGGTGAGCCAAGCGCCATTTGTCGCCTCATAATTTTGTGCTCTGAAAATATTGGCTGCCCGTTGCCTGGCAATAAAATGGCCACATGATGCCTTTCCACAGAAGTAGAGTAAAGTCCCTAATTGAAAATCACAAGAGGGTATCCTCTGCAGACTAGACAGTCTTTGTATTTACATAATTTCTGGAAATTCCACCCTAATCTGCTCCACTTTGCATATGATTTTTTATTTTGTTACTTGTTATTTGCGGTCGCCACGAACTTGTGCGCATAATTTTGATGAAATTATGCCAAACACATATTGGTCAGATCCACAATTTAGGCTTTTAATATGATAATTGTGTGGGACGGACTCGCGAGGTTCTCCGAATCACCAAAGGCTCTTAACGATGTCACACATCACAAAGCAAAAATTAAATTGAAAATATGCTAAACCAAATATCCCGAAAACTTATATACTCGTACATTCCGCTATATAGAAATCTAGATGGCAGCAATATGCATTTAATAAATAGTTTTATTGACCATTTTTATGAATGCAAATGTGCGCATTCAGAAACCACAAAAACGTATAATTTATTAATATATGGAATGGAATGGAATGGAATGCCGTGGATGCACTTGAAATAGAGGGTGTCGGAGTATCGGAGTATAACCAAATGGAACACATCTGGTTTGAGAGCACATCTGGTTTCCCTTTCCTTCCGATTCTCAATGGAAGTTTGATTCTCTAGCACACCCTATATACGAGTATGTATATTTTTTAATTTAAATGCCAAATAAATTTCGCACTAAATATATGACTATATTGCTCCCCACGAGATTATTTCCAGATAATGTATATTTTATACGCCAAACAGCAATTAAAGGCCAGCGAACATTTCCACAAATTTCCACTCGAACTGCAATGCAAATGAGAAATGTGTTCAGAGTAGTTGTTACTTGGCATCACTTTTTCGGCTTGACTTGCAGTTTGTGTGTTTCGGCTCTGATTCGATTTGTTTGCCTGCAGCCAAGGCAGGCGACCGTGAAATGTACGAGTATATTCAACCGAAAAGAAACTAGAACCAAACGAATGAAAACGAGCATGAGAGCAGGGAAATAAAGTCTATTTTTACAAGAGAAAGTAGCAGAATATATGGTACACTGAGCGAAAAATGGCATAGCAAAAATAACCACACCCATATTTCAATTAAATATTCCGTTTTTAAATGCAAAAATAGTGATATTAAATTGAATACACTTTAATTTAAATATAAATTCTTTACAAAGATTTTTTAATAAGGCCTATATTTAATAAAAATATAAATCCATATTGAAAACCTTAAAGTAAACATAATGTATTCAATTTGTAGGAAATTTATGTAATTTAATATGAAAATATTTAATTAAAATATGAAATATATTACAAGCAAATATTTGTATATTACTTTCAAAATGCAAGTGAAAACATTTTAATGTTATCTAATGAAAATATTCAAATTTCCGGCTTTTTTCTCTGGGTGTGTGGCATATCATATTTCGTAGAGGGAGAAGAAAATACTTTCATTTACATATGCTAATGTGTTGATTGCCCAATTGCTTGGATTGATTTTCGTAAACAGCACAATTTTAGTTAAATGTCAGGTCTAGGTCAAGAATTATCTTACCGTAAAAGCTTCCGCTAACCAAGCGTTAAAAATCAATTCAAAGTCAGGAAAAATAGTAATATTCAGCTACAAAGCAACTAGAAATCTAAATAAATGTCACTGTTTTCGCCCGAAAGATTCACTCTTTAGTTCGTCATGAGGATCTTGATTGTTCTACTCCTAGTTGGTGAGTTTTAGAGGAACGATTGAGAAGATATATAGATGGATAAAGGGATATATACTACTAGAAGATGCTAGGAGCGACTCTACGAACGTGTTTTATTAAGAGAAAGAAATTTGATAAAAATCTGATGATCTGATCTTTAGAGCGGGCACGTTTAATGGATATCTCCTGATCGAGCCACTGATGACTGAGATTATGATGATATTCTTTTGTATAGTACGTTACATTCGCGCACTTTGTTTGTGCACGTTGCTGCCACACGTTGCTGCCACACGTTGCCGAATGTGAAAGCAGGAAAAGCAATGCAAATAATCATGACACGTAACGAAAGTGTCGCCTGGCTTTGTTGTGTTGCACATTTGTTTCTGCTTGTGTGTGGAGCGGTTTGGTGTGGTGGCTGTTAAAATGTTTCACAGTTGAGAGTTGCAAGTTGTGTGTCGCATACTCTCAGGCGCCTCGCCACAATACCCTGACAGCTACGTGAGACAGCGACAACCACTGAATAATGAATTGCAGGATGAACCTACGACCTGAATGGAGAAACTACAGAATACCCTCACAGAACAGGAGAGAGTGCACCAAGAAATTATAATGTTAGTAAAGAGTTAGAAGATCCAAAAGGGGTAGAACTTTCCTTGCAGAAAATAGGGGGGACACTGTGAAAATGATATATGTTTGTGTGTACGTCACTCACCTCTCAATGAGATAGATGGATAGGTTCTGCATCACGCAGAACAGGCCCACACAGAAGTCTGCGAATGCGAGATTGGCCAAAAAGAAGTTGGTAATGGAGCGCAGACGTCGCGACAGGGTGACCACCAAAATGACCAGTAGATTGCCTAGAAATATATACAAAAATAACGATTACAAATAGAACGAATACAAGTTGACAGTTGCTGGAGGAAATGACAGCAAAAAGAAAAAAAAAAACATTGAAAAAAAGAAATTGGAATTTCATTTTTATTCTTTAACCTGGCGCCCGCTTGTCAGCGGCACAACTGGCCGACTGGGAGATATTAAAAATGTTAACAAAAATATTTGTTGCCAGTGACATGCCCGCTGGCAGCCGAACGGCGACATGGGTCCTTGGTCCTTGGGTCTGGGTCTGGCCTAAACTTTTGCTCAACTGCCGCACGCTGCACTGGGAGCAATAACTTTTTGCACTCAGTGTGTGCTCAGTGCGCTTTGCATGACACCCACACCCCCATCCACACCCACACCCAAGCCCCTCCAGTCTGTGACAATTTGCTGTATTCCCCTGTCGTTGGCGTTGGGCTCGGGTTTGGGTTTGGGTTTGGGTTTAATGTAGCGTTGAAAGTTTATTTTAATTAGGGTTTCTCTACATGGACATGGGCATCTGTTGGAATTCGTTTCAGCTTTGGTCATAATTAAATAAGGACTGTGTTGTCTGGACTGTGGATGTATGTGAGAAGCTGTTTTGACAAGTTTGAATAATTGAGGGAAGCTTTGGACAAGTTTTTGCTTTGGGGAGATCTTGTGTGAGGGCTTTTCTAAAGCTAATAAGCTATGAAATTAGCAACTTTTCCTCATATAATGTATAAAGCAAGAATAATATCAATGTTAAATAGTTTCCCTGTCAATCTACGAATGGCATTTCCGAAAATTAGTTGCAATTTCCAAGGAATTCAAGCACTTACCCGAGGTGCAACAAACCTCAATCGCCTTGAGCTGGAAAACCGCAGACCAAACGGCAATCAAGCCCAAAATATATAATGCACAGACATATGGCCAAGAATTGCGGCCTGCATGGGGCATAAATGGTGAACCACCGCAGCGGTTCAAAGGAGCACTTTAAAGCTCAACTCCTGTCTCCGGATTGGCCGCTTGCTCGATTTGTGACTACATAATATGCATAAATAAAGTGCATTTTCTGCCTCACCGATTCTCGGTTGTAAATCTCATTATGCATGCAAGAAGCACAGCCAAAAAATTGGCATGCAAAATAAATTATTTCGGATGCACACACACACAACACACACACACAGATACAGCATCCTGAAACCACAGAACGAACTCCATATGCTGTTTGTTGACTTTGCGGGCAGAAAATTGCATTCCATATTTCGGATCGGCTACAAACTAAATCTAACAAAGTACAGAAATCCACAAAAGCCAGCGAATTTAAAGATACTTTATATTTTAGATAATTTTAGCCCTATTTTTATCCTTTGAAACTCATGGAAATTGCGGTTTTCATGAGCAAGTAGTAAAATCAGTAATCCAACTAATTGCCTACTGATTTTCGAGCTCTAAGCATAGTCATACATTAGCGATTTGGGTACTTTTCCACACAGATCTTAAGCTCTATCAACACATTGGAAATTAAAGGTAAGATGCCCAAGAAATTCTTCTGACATTTTCAAGATTCCAAAGCCTGAGAGCTCCATAAAGCAGGTGGTGCCAGGTGGGTCTTAAAAGTCCTAAAATGTAATGGATTTTCAAAGTATTTTCTAGATTTGAGGAAGATCTATTAACAGCCTCTAATGTGGATGGATGTGCCTTCATCTTCAAGCTAAAGAGAGACAATATTCAATAATTGCATTTAAGTTTATTGTTTCCCAAAAACTTTTGAGTGATTAAGCTCTAAGGAATAACGATTTTCAATTTTTCAATTTTATTTATAGCCCTGCCAAGAAAATGAAAACTCAATCCACACGTTCCATTTTTGGACCAAATATCGTATTGTAGTTGGAAATTTTCAAACAATTGGCCAGCGGAAGCATTTTATTCTGGGGAGCAGCCTCACATGACAAACAAATGTCGAGGGAAACTTTTTTAATTACTCTCGATAGGCGGAGAGTGGCGGCGCACTGGCGGGTAAAATAACGAACCCCGAAACACAACCCCAGCGATATGTGCCAAAAAATACCGAAAACGTGCAACACTTCAAGGCGGGCCATGAAATACGATATCAAGGAGCGAGAGGGGACATTGCAGCGGAATGGAAGGACAGGGAGACGGAAGCTGTGCCTGAGGCTGGGGCTGGGGCTGGGGTCCTGCTTGTGTTACATACGATACAATATGCTGGACAAAAGTTTCCCCTTCTCTTTTGTGTGTACACAATTTCGTTGGTGTTATTAAATTTGTCCCAATTGAAGGATGCAGCGGCTGGGAGGTCCGTGCTCATCTGCAACTTTGTGCTCAAAGCCCAAATAGTTGTTAAAATAATAAATATTTCTTGGTGATCTCCGACAATTGTTTTCCTGGCGTTTCTGTTGTACTTCTGACTTTTGACAATTTATTCGAGCTTTTCAGCTAAACGCTGGACCGTAAAATTAAGCGTAAAATTCAGGGTTTAGTGATGAATGTCCGCAGGGTTAGCCCTAAATGAGGCCCAGGGGAACAGCAATTAATGGAGGAACAACCCCCCACACACGCACGCAGCAAAAAGGGCAATAAAGTGTCTTGTCACAGGAGCAGCAGCAGCAAACCAACAATTTCGGAGATTATACTATTCCGACATTACGGCTACAAGATACCCTAACCCCGTTAATGGGGAGCTGTCTAGAAGGCACTTAAAATTTCAAGAAAATAAAGGTTATTACTTCATTCAGGAGGTAATTTTTGATGGGATTCTGGTCTGAAATGTTCCCGAGTTGCATATACCCTCTTACTGTACGATTACGGGGTAAATCAACAAACAGCAAACAGGAACTTAGAACGTGACTGCAGCATGCAAATTTTATGGCTGAGTGTTGTAAATGTCCCGGCCCTGGCCCTGCCCCTCTCTATGCCCCACTCCATGCCGGGGCTGCAAATAAGTTGCTTACATTCTGCAATTGTCTCTGCAATCCTCTCCCTCGGCCACGCCCATCATGTCTGTGTCTAATGGGCGACCATTTGTCGCCATTTGGTGAGCCGAATACACATGTTCCTCAGTCATTCAGTGGGTCTGGTCTGTCTGGCTGTGCGGTTAATAAAGCCTACAAAAACTGTTCCCCCGGACTCGGTTGCAGCGATTCCGTCGAATTGATTCCAACAGTCGAGCGATGTGACATTAAGGGCCATTCGATATTTATGATTTTGCAATTAAGCATCGCAAAAACACATAACTAATTCATTAAAGAGTGCCATCAATTAAATGCTTGTCAGTATTCCAGCGTTCCGATGCGGCCCACGCGCCATATGCGGCGTATGCGCAATGTGGAAAATGGTCAAGGTCAATGGAACATTAATTTCGGATGACACAAGCCCCACAAAAATCTCAAACAGACCACAGACAAATGTTGTTTACATTTGTATTCGCAATGTAAGCGTGAATTGTTTATGATAACACCTGGTGATTCATTTATTCAGCTTACTCGCTGGCGTTTTATTTGCCATTTCTTTAACTTTCACAACGTGTCAGAAGATGAGATTCGACAAAAAAATACCCTTAAATATTGTCTGTTCTGTGATAAAGTCATCATTGGGTCACCAAAAAACCACCGACATAAAACCCCAAACGCAAAGTGAAAGTCCAGCCACAAAAGGCGGCCAAAAAACATGTGCAAAAAAAGACACAAACACAATATAAACCAACCAAACACTGGGCATTGAGTAATTGGCGAGTCAGCAGTAAATTCACTGCGGCCGTGATATATACAACGGGTCTCAATGGACATTAGCACGCAACCGGAACGGGGGCCCGGGATGCTGCCGCTGCCTGTGGGACGCCACCAAACGGCTTGTGGCAGGCACTTTGCCTCTACTTCAATTCATGTTTTGTCCTCGTGTTCCTTGGGCCACTACACAGCCCGAACAGCAGGACATAGCCAATGAATGAATATTAAAGGTCACCAAGAGATTTGCGAAACAAATAAAGTGGGGAGTCTATGGACATGCGGAATGACTTGTACTCGTACTCGAGAGAGTAACAAATAGCTGCCTGGTCAACGATTATAAGTCTTGTTTATACACGTACTTCCCATTCCGTATCTTAAGTTCTAGATCTATAATTTCGTACTCACCAAAAAAGCAGCAGCAAAAGACAATGGTGTAGAGGGTGATGAATATGATGCGCACATCGGTGCGATCGAAGATATATTCACTGGCGTTTGCGGCATCCTCCTCATCCTCGATTACATCGATGGCGGCACCACCGCCGCCCAGGACTGGCACCAGAGCCGTTGTTGTGTCGTAATCGGTGCTATTGCCATTGCCATGGCCATTGAATGACAGGCCTGAACCCATCGTAGAGTCATTTGCAGACGACGATGCCAGGGTGGCCATCGCCTGCCAGAGCAGGAGCAGCAGCATCACCACTAGCCACGGAAATGAGCTGGACAGGGGATTGCTGGTCAGCCGGAGCTTGTTGTGTCGCTGTGGTGGGGGTTCCTCCAGTCCCTCCAGTCCCTCCAGTTCCGGGCTCTGTCGAGCGGAAATGCTATAACTCGTTGAGCTCTTGCTCTTGCTTCTGCTTCTGGTCCTCTTTTGATTATGCTCCTCTCCATTCGTGTCGGCATTATTATCGTTGTTCTCATCGTAAGCTGCTGATATGTTTGTGCTGCCACTTTGTCGTCGCTGTTTATGTTGCTCCTCCGCCTGCTGGGCCCCAGCCTGCAGCAACACTGTGTGCACTCGGCCACCACCCAAGCCTCCGCTCATTATGGGATGCAGCTGCAAGGATAAAGAACAAGTCCATTGTCAGTTTAGTGGATGTCGGTGGAACGGCAGCGGATGATTGGCTCTAATCAGTTTCTGAGCAAACAAATTAATTCAGCTTCGAGTACTCTTTAAAATTCAAACCATCCAGAGATTTAGGCCGTGAATAGGGTTTAGAATGTGGGTGTCTTACATATATATGGAGTGGGGAAAATCTATTGTTATGTTGTTTTTGGCAACGATACTTTACAACTTTTCTCGAAAATAGTTAATATTCATATTTTAATGGCTGTTTAAGTTTGAGTTCTACTAATTACGGGATTCACATCGTTTGGAGTGCCGTGAACCTTTGACCCATAGGTAACAAGTGACAGCTTCACTTCATTAACTGCAAAGTCACGTCTCTTATGTCTCACATCACGCACCACGCCCACCCACACTGGAGGAGCAATTAAACATGGCCGGGCAGGCCAACTGATGTACCGCGACTGTACCACTGTTCCTCTCTCTCTCTCCCTCTTACTGTCTGGGACAGTTTGTGTCTGTGTCCGTCGGGGAGTAGACTTTTTAATTAAGCTTTAATAATGAGCATAATTAAAACATTTGTCGGCGGACACACGCACGCATCGCGTCTAAAAAGGAAATTATGATTTGCCATTTGCCACGCGCCACGCGCCACACTCTGGACCCACCCACTGGGCTCTTCTCGTCTCGTTTCTCTGGTTATTTTTTGGTTTGCTTTTGGTACATACTCGTATTTGTCATATGCACTACTCCGCTTTGTTGCTAATTACGCAAGTGCAGTCGCAGGACCTCTCGCGTCCTGCCGCGCCACTCTTCAAATTGCCGCTTTGATTATTGCTCGCTCTCGCCTGTGAGTTGTGAGTGTGTTTGGTACGTGCTCTAATTAATAAACACACACTACACAAAACGACTATCAAGTAATTAGCAGTGCTCTTTTGAATCGTCATGTCTCCCATATTAAAAACATTCTGTTTGCACATAAATAAAACACATACGAGTGTTGCCAGTGGATGGCAAATATTATTCATGGCAAATGGCAGATGGAAGATGGCAGGGGAAGCACCAGCACACCCGCCAACAATCCACATGGAAATGCGACAAACTGTCGGATAGATAAGGCGAATTGGTGCTGACAGTTTTACAAGCTATTTGCTCATAGCTAACATTCGAGTGTCCCTGAAAAGATCAGGTTTCCAGACAATATACATGCAAGGGATTGGGCAAAGAAATAAAACTATTTATGTGTAATATTTGGAGCAATAATTATCTTATTATTATCAATATCTGTGAACAAATAAACGATTCTATGGAATGGGAACACAAGCTCTCTATCCTCACAGCAATGGTAGTCCCAACCACTCTATCAACAGAGTCCAGACACAGTAATAACCAATAAGGAAGACCCCTCCTACCACAGCAATCTAATGAAACCCCATAAACGCCAGTCAAAGTTCACTCAATGAGCCATTAAGGGCCCGCAATCAGAGCGAAACAAACACCGAAAGCCGAAACAAAGAGGATCTGAACGAACCCTCCAGAGCACAAAGGACGAGGCGGCACAGGCAAAGGCAAAGTCACAGCCACAGCTACAGGCAGAGGCAGGCCGTTGCAAAAGTTACCGGCATGTGGGTCAAACTGCAGGAACAGTAATTAAAGGGTGTACTTAATTGCCTGAAATTATAATTGATGAGCACCACCCACTAACAGCAGAAGGACTCATCTCTGACCACGCCGCGCGCCTACGAATTGGCTGCGAAGCATTGCAATTGAGGGGAAATTTCGGAGAAGAACTTAAGGGCTTGAAAGTTGGTCAAAGGCAAAGGCAAAGGCAAAGGCAAAAGGCATCAAAGTTTAGAGAGATACATTTCCCTCATTGAAATCTTGTACTTTAAGGCCCTTAGCAGTTCAAAGTGCTTGGCTGGCTCCTGGCCCATGCTAATCGCATAGCTTCCGACAACATCACATTTTGAACAGTATCTGAACAGCGCCATCTAATAAGCATTTCGGTGTCGAGTGTCAGCAGTTCGGTTCGTCAATGTTTGCCGGGACTCGGATAGCTGCCGTCCAATACAACGACAACAAACTGTCAGGCAATGTCACATGCAGAGGCACAAGGACAACAAGCCTGTCCTATTTGTCCGGATCTGGCTGGGAGTGTTGTTGTGTGCTCGCACTAGCAGACCCAGACCCAGCCCCAGATGATTGCAGACTCTGGCACCAGGATTAGTTTGCCCTTAACACGCATCTAGAAGTACACCTTGCGAGATGGGGATAATAAATGCCCTTCACAATGTACATACTTCATAGCAGATTTAAATTTCACTTCGAGAAGCTGAAAGCTGAGCGTCTGGGATAATTCGCAGTCGCTTTACCAAACTGCTACAAATTTCCATGGGTGCGAAATCGAAATCGTTGTTTTCTGGTTCTTATAGGTTGCCCGAATAAGGCAAGGTATTTAAGTTTGAATACAATATGATATTACTGGGTCAAGGAAATAAGCAATATACTAGTTCCATGCATGGTTATGACTTCCCGGTAGACTGTAGAAATGTTGTATCTATTACTTGGATCAACGAATTATAATGCACTGAACATTCTGGACTGAATAATCTGCATGTTTAGGAAGTACAATCGGCGTAGTTGAACGTATTTCTAGGATATGTAATACCTGGAATACCAATCGCGTTGATTCGATAACACGTTATCAGCCTGATATAATACAAGATAATCCATTGTTCCGTAACAATATTCCCCCCCAGGCCAAAATATTTATTGGTAGGGCAGATTTTGTGGCTCGATGCCTCGTTCCTCGGTGGACGTTTCTTTGACTCGGACATGGGCCCGTAGAGCAGGGCGCTGAAGTATTACGGCTAGAATTATGCAGTCGCTGATGCTCCACACGGAAGACCTCGTTCATGCAGAGTCGACCGATATACCTCTTGGGGCAGTATAAATTCTTGGTATAATTCTATAAACCTTTCTTATTTGTTTTTCTATATTATTGTTTTATTGTTTATTTTCAAACGGGTTTACCGCACTATACAATGGCCCTCTGTTAAAGAAGTTTAGGTGTCGTAAGCTAAGGGTTAATCGACAGTGGCATGCCACGGTTTCCAACACTTTTTGATGGTATTTTGTTGCTGCATCCAAAAATGTGAAATGACATCCAAATGTAATGAAACACTTTCTCCCGTCATTCAAAAGCGAACATCTCATCCCCAACAGTCAGTCACACATCCACTTTCCGATTGCCATGGCCATGGGGAAAATCATTTTTACACTCGAGTACTCGTAGTCGATTTTGTACCGCGAGTTGGCGTTCAATCATGCCAATTCCAAACATGGGTTCCTTTAGCTAGGACCCAATGCAAATGCTGTCTGTCCGTATGTCAATTTGTTCGTTAATTGCGATGCACAAAATGCACATTTTTCCATTTCCATTTATGGAAGGACGCAAGTACCTATGTATATGCTCGGTGCACATTCAATGAAAAGTATTCTGTGAAAGGGTATTCTTGGTTTAACGTAAAAAAAATAATAGCTTTCAGCAATTTTCATCATTATTTTGGTGGTGGCATTTTTTGCAGTGCGGCCCATTTTCAAGTACCATTTTTTGTTGTTCAGTCTTTCATATATTTTTTTATATTGTGTTTCTTCCGTCTGTTTGCTTTTTTAACATTTACATGATGTCCCACGCTCGGGCACTCCTCACCTGAGTTTGCACTGCAATTAGTTTGAATGGCAATTGGCATATTTGTTTAATGGCTTACTTAACCCAACCAGAAAAGCGGTTTTTGCTCATTCCTGTAAATGTTAATTGTTATTTTTATGATTATTATTTTAGGTACTCGTATTCTGGGTGTGTTTATGCTGATGGGAACGCCAGTGACCCATGGATATAGGGGTATTGTTTAGTTTACCCCTTGGTTCGGAGATCCTACAGCAGCTAATATGGAATACCCTCAACCGATACTCTATCGCGATAGCCTTCAACCGGCTGTTATCGATTTTGAAGTCCGATAACCGCGAAGTCTCTATAATTAGCTATCGATTAGCGAATAAAGAATCGATGCCACAAAATGAATATCTCCCTGTTATATACAAATGTTTTTGGCCGAAGCGAGTGAGCCAGGGGTTACCCTTTAGTTACTGGTTAACTTTTGGTTAGTTCAGTGTCTCAAAGTGTCTTGTTTAGTTAGAGTTTAATCAGAATTTCCTAGAGTGCTCATTTAACTAAATTCCAGCAGAAGTTCCCATTGCAGTTGTACCCCTCGAGACCTCCTTCGAGTGCACTTCAAGCACCTGATGGGGCCTGGATGGCTATAAGTGCTACAGGGCCGAGTGCAGCAGAGTGGAGTGGAGTAGATTGTCGCGCTGGCGACGACTTCCGGAACGGAAATGGTTTGGCGCTTTAATGAGCCAAGTGGCGCACAGATTGACGTTCCGTTCTGCTTGAGATGCCGCTAAGCAGCCGGGCTCTCTCTCTCTCTCTCTGCGCGCTTCCGACAAATGAAAACTAACACTTTAGCGGGTGAGTGCGGGGGGGTTCGCGGTTCTAAATTGATTTGGCAGATACTGATTTAATTAAAACCCACCGGCAAGTGCAATGAAAGCTTCCTTCGACAGCAGTCCTGATTACAGTACCCAAGGGTATCTGTCTCCTGTATAAGCCAGAAGACAATGGCCTGAACGCCTACGATTCGTTTGGTGGAAAATTTAAAGCCTGTTAACATTTAATGTAACACATTGAAGGCACTTTCTCCCACACTGAAACGAGCAGTGATTAAGAACCACAAAAATAGTCTTCGCTTCACTGTGTTCGGCATTTTCGAACTTAATTTAATGTACAAAAATCACGCAAGACGTCAGACTGCGATGGTAAAGCAAAAAGAAAAACAACGACTGAAACCGAACTGCTAAAAAACTTGTGCAATTTTCTTGTGCAGCCTTTCACCAGCAAAACAGGAGAGAGGAAAGACAAAAAAAAAAATGAGGAAAAACTAGGGGGATGGGGGGTAAATGAAAGAAAAGTCATTACAACTTGCACACACAGCGAACAAATTGCAGAGAAATAATATTTTCCGGTTTTTGTGTTGCGGGGCTGCATGCGGCATGAGGCATGCGGCGGCATGTTGCATCGCTGTGGCAATTGGAATTTTGGGCTCCATTTTCCTATCTTTCAGAGAGCCATCCACATCTTCTCTCCTTTGGCCATAGGACCGGGCCCAATGTTTGGTAAATTGTGCTGAAGTAAGGACATTAAGTGGTAATTGAGTATGCCAGGGAGAGCCAAGTGAAATATGCTTTCCCATGGCCTCCCACCCCTCCTCCGGCCATCACCCACTGGTCCGACATCTGAGCGAACAAATGGGGAAAAATGGAAAGGGTACCAGAGCAGCATTGGCGAAAATGAGTGCGAGAGCCCTCATGATAACCATGATTTATGATCTGTGGAATTTTTCAATTTTTTGGCAAACCAAACAAACGAAAATTGAATGAAACTTTTGGCACACAAAGCTGCTTTGCCTGTAATTGGCCCTGGACCAAGGCCCAAGCCAAAGGCTTCTCTTCGGATTATTATCCCAACATTACCTACCATTATTAGATGTGTCTCGATGGGCAGTGATTTATCGTATCCCAACTGGCATTCGTTTGTCTTCAGTAAAGATACATTATATTAAAATAGAACGTATATTTTTTCAACATTTTTTTAAAATCTTAAATTTTTAGCAGCACCAACAAAATGTTTCATATATTCTGTCCTTAAAGCTCAAAGCCGACGGACGGGCAGGCCCAGTGTTTGGTAGGAAAAATGCGTTCATACAAATTTTGGATGACACTTGGACGGGGGTCGGCCTGCACAGGTGCACGAGGAATCCGAGGATGTGTGCAACCCGACCTTGGAAGCCCTGCGGCATTTTGGCCTCGCCGCTCCATTGTTGGCCAAAAACTTTTGTTTGTCTACCAAGCGTAACAGAGATATGTATTTTAGGAGAGCAGAGGGTGGGCCCAGACACGACCCGACACCACCCGAACCCGACCCCCGACCCCCACACGTGGGTCGTGGGGCCATGTTATTGGAAGCCAATTTAGCAGACAACATCGCCGGCTCGATTGGCACCCTCCGTGCGCCCTCCGTTGTGCCGCCAATTTGTGCAATAAAAGTGCTGCAACAAATGCCGTCGGCGCCGACGGCGTGCCTCGCGTTGCATATTTATGGGCATCACGGCAATTTATATGGCTCGAATGGCTCGAATGGCCAGACTGGAGGGATGGCTGCGAGTGGGCTTAAACGGCAATTGGCAAACGTCTTTTGCCCGCGACAATTTTCATTAAATTTGCATTCAACCGGCTCCTTAGCCCCCATTGCATTATTTATGGGCCACCACTCCGTCCCTAGGGAGAGGTGAGGGGTGGATGGGTGGATGGGGTGTCGGATTGGTCGAAGATTATGCAAAGTCTTTTCGGCGCCTGCTCGCGGCATGGACAGCCCTCAACTTTTTGGAGAATTTCGCGCCTGACTTGAGCAACTTTTGGCAATTGGGGATTTTCCACCCACCCAACCGCCGCTCTCTGTGCATGACAGGCGTGAGAAAATTGGAAAGCCCAAAGGCGGAAATGAAAGAGATATGCGGCAAGGACTAAGCCTGGATGCGGCTGTCTGCTGAAGCGCAAAGTATGGAAGGACAATTTAAGAGTCGATAAAAATACGACTACGTACGCAACCTGGAAACCCCTTCCATCGCATTTACTTGCAAATTGAATGCATTTTCGATCAACCAATTTCCGTTTCAATGCTGAGACCGAAAACCATTTTAATTCCTCAAGAAAGGGCCAGTGGTTTCGATACCATTGGCAGACCGCAACAATTAAATTGAATGCAAATGCAAATGGGAATTTCCAAAGCCGCAAAACAGTAGGACCGGGCGCTACCAGGCTGCAGGTTAAGGGTCAGGGTGGGGCCTGTTGAGTGCCAGGAGGCGGCACACACCTTCCACTAGGCTCGTCGGATAGTTCAAGGGTTCGGGGCAAACATCGTAAATCTTTTGCTGCTTTTGCTGCGGAGAACGCTTCCTTTTGGTTTATCAAATGAAAACCCAAAAACCCAAAAAGAAATAAATTACAAAATCATTTGGAAATGCATTTTCCCTGCACATGCGTTACCCCCCACACCCGCACCAACACAGCCAAAGCAGAAAGGAAACGGAAACTGGCACTACGCCTTAAAGTAGGCAATAAATTTGTATTTGAAAGGGCTGCCGCCCCAACATTTGTGGCAAGCCCAAGGCTGCTTCAACAATTTGGTGGAAAACCCAGGAAAAGCCTGCCTTAATAGGATTGAGGAATTTCCAAAAGAACATCCTTTTCAAGCAGAGGTGATGTTAATCCTCCGTATCGTAGATCGGGAGCTTGTGTGAATAAAGTTGGGCCACTTCTTTTGGCTTCTCTTCGGCCTCGGGATGCTTCTCCTCAGCTGCAGCAGTCTTTTCCGCTGTCTCTGCAGCTGTCTCGTGGCTCTCAGCGGCCACCGCCTCTGCCTTGACGCGAGCATCACTACCGCCACCATTCTTTTGCCAATCCTTGAGTAATTTTTGGAAATCATTCAGACGTTGCTTCTTGTCCTTTTCCGTTTCTGGTTCCTGGCCAATGCCCCCTTCATCTATCTCATCTTCGTACCCTGCCGGAGGTAGAGCGTTCTGTTGGCTGTTATGAAAAAGGGTTCGATTGCCGTCCTTGAAGTAATACGTCTTCGTTCGCTTGTACATGAAAGGAAAGTACACGAACTCTGGATGTTCGTGCTCCTTATGGGTGCTGAACACAAGGACCGTCAGTATGACCACCAGTGGCAGGACTGCGAAGAGGGATATGTTTCGCCAACGCTTCATGCCTCCACCGTGGGCTGGTTCTTTTTCTTTCGGCGGATTGCATGGATCACTTGTACTACCGCCTCCTTGGATTGTCGCTAGATTTTTTTTGTCGATCGTGACGCGTTTACACGTTCGTTTCAGCAGCAGTTCCTCGCAGTTGGCCTGCGCTGCCCCTGCCCCTGCTCCTGCTCCCATTTTACCGAGTGGCGAACAAGGAGATTTCTTCCTGGGCTTGCAGATGCTCCCGCCGGAAATGATTGTCTCGTCCTTAGAAATGCAATCTTTATTCTCGGTGCCATTGAGTTTAGGCTTAGATGTTTCCGAAGAAATATTTTTGCTAGTTTTTGCATGCCTGGACATTTGCAAAAGGTTTATGAGTCGAAATTTGTGAAGCATAATTTATAAATCGAAAACCCAAAATTTTATTGTGACTGAATTCCGAAAAGTTAATTTTGAAATAATCTCTCTAGAGTATGAAACCAGCTTTGATGGATTTTACAAAGGAACGATAGAAATCCTGTGTAAATTCTGAATTAAAGAACCTCCTTTGATGGTTTTGTTTCTTCAAGAATCCAGCCAAGAATGCCATCGCCCTCATTGTAGATGAAGCCATTTCTGTAGTCCACTCTTATGATCTTCGCTCCTTTTTGGCTTTCGATGGTGATCATTATTCGCTTCTCTGTTGCCCTAATTGCCGATTTTCCATCTCTTCTTTTTTGGCTCAGATATTTCTTCTTTTGCTACTCAGCAGCTGCTGACTCCGCGCCCGCATGCTTTTTCCAATCCTTGAGCAATTTTTGGAAATCACTTAGACGTTGCTTCTTGTCCTTTTCCGTCTCTGGTTCCTGGCCAATTCCCCCTTCATCTATCTCATCTTCGTAGCCAGCCGGTGGCAGAGCATTCTGTTTGCTGTTATGGAAAAGGGTTCGATTGCCGTCCTTGAAATAGTACGTCTTCGTTCGTTTGTACATGAAAGGATAGTAGACGAACTCTGGATGTTCGTGCTCCTTATGGGTGCTGAACACAAGAAGCGTCAGTATGGCCACCATTGGCAGGACTGCGAAGAGGGATATGCTTCGCCAGAGCTTCATGCCTCCTCCACTGTGGGCAGATTCCTTTCGTTTCTGGCCGCATTGACCGCCGCCTTGAATTGCCGTTAGTTTTTGCTTCTTCTTCTTGCCGCTCTTCTTGTTGAGCAAATCATCGCAGCTTTTCTTCACGGCTCCAGGTGCAGGAGCACCCGCGGATTTGTTCTTGGGGCTGCACTTACTGCCCCCTCGAATTGCCGTTTCGTCTTGCTTCTTTTTTTCGGGATTCTTGGGTGGGTCTTTCGGGGCAGCGCCTTTCGGGGGAGGGCCTTTCTCGGGAGGTTTGGTTCCCTTCGACATCTGGCGCATTGCGAACATGGCATTTCTGATATGCCCTGTTATTTGCATACCCGTTGCAAATCGAGACAGTTTCAGCATAATTTATGCCAAAAGTATATATTTTGGGGAGTGTTTCCGAATTCCGAATTTTAAATACTACTAAACGAAAAGGGCAGCTAGATTAACTGTAGTTTCGAAGCTACTTTGACGGATTTAATAAATGTAAATTCTCTTCGGTGGAAATATATTCGCCGTTCGCCATTCGCCGTACAGAATAGCCCGGGATCAATCCAATGATTTAAAAAACAGCAAGGGCCCACAATAGACACTTAACTTTTATGGTAGAGCATTCGGGAGCCTGAATGTTTCTCAAATTAGCTCTAATGTGACAGAAGAAACATTCTAGAGGAAGTCCTCGGGCCAGCCTCCCAGAGGTGATTTAACTTGTACGAGTACGAGCACATTCCACACATTTCCACAAAGGAACAGAGGCACACTGGCATAGAGACAAGCTAAAGTGCCTTGTAATTTCCCCAGGACAGATGCGAGGGAGGATTGGGATTGGGAGGAGGGAGGCCCCTCCTAGAGAGGCTCATTAATTAGGCAGATAGGCCACAACTAAAGATAGAAATTGAAACAATGGCCGAGACGGGGCCGGACCTTGAAAATATGTTGAGGCCATCATCCATCATGCTCAAGTGTCGGCTTGTCGGGCAGCCGCCGCATAAATATTACATTATAATTATGATGGCCAGACGGCGGGCACTGCGGATGGGGGCAAAACTTTTAGCTGGAAAATTAATCAAACACTTCACGAGGAAGAAAACAAAGAGCAATACCGAAACTGCTCTCGGCCATTCATTATTTTCGAATGCCTTCTGTCTGGAGCTGCACAGCAAAAACTTTCCCCAGCAACTAATCGAAGACATACAAACCGTAAAATAAAATGCAAGGAAATTTAATATTCGGGAAACCAATGTTGGTATGCCCTTCCAGAGGCCATAGAAAGTGTATTTACATATGTAATGATAAATCTGTTCTGTAGTTCTTGCTGAGGATTGTGAGGAACAAATTTTAAATTATTGAAATTTAAATACAATTTTGATAGAGCATCCAAAAAAGACTGGTATACCCTTTCAGAGGTCATATAAAGTGTATAAAATTAATGATATTTAGCCCTTTTTTATAGCTGATTCGTGATAAACTGTATTAGTAGTTGGTAGAGCATCCAACAAAGGCCAACACTCTGTCGCTACGAAAAGCCATAAGGCCAAAGTCGAGTGCCAAAAGTCGCTCGGCATAAGACAGGAATAAAGTCTCTCTTCAGCTTATCGTGCCCTTTGCACTAATCAAATTGCAAATGCCGCACACACATTAGGGTCCTGAGGAAAACAATCACATCACGTATACGCCGTGAAGGCCCTGGCAGTGCCTTGGATAATTTCACACAGAAATACATACGAATACAAATACGTATATTTATGGTTGGGCCAAAGCTGCTGTGATTGACATTGTCAAAACAGGATGACACCTGCACTGGCATTAAGTCAACCTTGTGACATTTGCTCTCCTCCCGAAAACTTTCGTTAAACCTTGCTCATGCCACTCACAACTTTAGGGAACCCTTGCCTGGGAGTCAATCTCCATGCTCATAAGAGTACTATAGCCTGCTCCTGCGCTGATATATCACATCACGTCTGGGACGTTTTGACAAGTTTTTCACACGCCATTTGTGTGCGCCATTAGCCTGGTTAGAGGATAAGCCAAGTTTCGGCATTTGATTCAATTAATTGGGGATTACTTTTACACCGACAAAAAACTTTGCTTTGCCGCAAAATTGCACAACTTGTGGCTTGGCTTATTTGAAATTCAAGAGCGTTATTACACGCGATACCCTGCCAGAGGGATACAAAAGGGACCACAGGGTAGATGCGGCTGGAAGTTTAACAGAAAAAGTGGAAGGATCTTCCGTAAATGAAGCAGACGTTTTATGGAGTATTTAGAAAGTATTTACATAAAATTAAAGATAATTTTACTGAGTAATACTCTAAATCTGCTGAGTAGCAATCAGTCGTTCAGTATACTCTTATGCTCTGCCTCTCCTGCTGCCTTTCAAGCTTATTTCAGACCCAAAATGTTTCCTCCGCCCGCCTCCTGGGTCCTTCCAGCACTTGTCGAGTTGTCAGATGGCCCCCCAAGGCATAGCCGCCATTTTCTGTGTGTGTGTGTGTTCGTGTCTCTTGCTATCTAGCGTTCGTAATCATTTGTCCTTGTGGCAAAGATCCCTTAGCCATCACCTTTAACCAGACCGCACCGCCCCGCAACCCAAGCCAAGCGGCAAACACACAAAATAATATCCATGGCTGAAGGGCAGAAGGGGGCGAGGCAAGGCTCATAAGTTTATCAGTTTAGCGCCATTTCCAATGGAATTTCCGTGAAAGTTCAGGTGGCACCCCTGAGTACGGGGGCGACACAAAATTGATTTTCTCCGTGGCTCCGTGGCTACGTGGCTGCTGCTCTTTAGCGCTAAATTTAATTTATGCTCTCGGAATGCAAAAGCACACAAACGAAAAGTGTGATTTACTCCATGAGTTTTATGATGGCCACTTTGTTGTACGACTACGCTAAGTACTTGTACTCGTTCGCGTTGTTTGTTTTTTCCCAACGTCAGAGCCAAGAATTTATGGGCCTGCATAACGGCATCTCAAAATTGATAGCAAAGCATTAGAGCCATTTAGAGAGCGAGAGGCTATGACTGTCTATATGTGATGGATGGGATGATTGAAGGGCAAGGGCAGCCACCAACGGAGTTTACAGCCTCTACAGATTCGCAACTTAACGTTCAGGTTATCACAAAAGTTCCATAGATGATTTTTAATTAAATTTGTCATTAAAAGTGCGGGGGCTGGCACAGGACTGAACAAAACGAAAAACGGAAGAAAATAAAATACGAGATCCATTTTGAATATTAAGACTACGGAATACCCACTATTTTGGTATATCCTTTTGTGTGGCTAATTGAAGGCCACAACGACAAGGATTTTTTGGAACCTTTGTTTATTTTTTGTCACTAAAATATAGCCTAAAATATAGATATAGACATGCATCTACCCATATACCACACAGAATATACCCTTATTTTTGCGACGACCCTGTACTGAGAGCCAAGTGACAACCTCATTGTGTCCGGTGCGGCGCCTGAGAGAGCTGAGAGCCCAAAAGTAATCTCCTTTCGGTCTGGCTCTCCCTCCTGCTCTTTTGATTGGGGGGGCTGGCCACGAGAGCAATCGGCCGGGGAATTGTGCGGTCCAACGCCTCTGTTTATACGGTTGGGTATATATATACTCCTTTATATATTGCGATATTTTGTATTTTCTGGCGTGAAATATTTCTGGTAAATCGAATTAAATTGAAGGTGCGTAAAGCAAGTGGCAAAAGCTGAAGGCATAAGCGAAAGTATCCTTGCTCAAGTGCTCGAGTGAAGCTTTTGGCCTTCATTCATTATTGATGGGGCTATATCCGTTTAACTGGCAATTACCTTTGAATGGTGGCTTTCATAAACTTAACAATCAACTAGAAGACCATCACATGGCAGGATTTCTGGCAGTTTCAATAAGCGGAGTTGCCTTAATTAGCTGCTGTTTTTATTGTCACGGGAAATCTTTTTTTTTTGGCTTAAACCCAAACTGTTGTTAGGTTAAGGAATAGAAAATCCATGGGAGTTGCTGGCTCGTAATTATTGCCTCATTACTCTGTTTTCCACTTGGGTTTTCGCCCCAACATAAGCCTTAAGGCTTTCATTTCCCACCTGCTCACATCGCTCTTCCCACGCTCGAGAATTTACTTTCTCCCTCTGCCTTTTCCTCGGATTTTCCCTGGCATTAAGTTCAGCTCAGACACACACGTATGTTTCGGTACTTTTTGGCACTTACTGCCTGTTTTTCTTGGGCTGTTATTTAATTTTTATTTATCTTCCCAGACGTTGGCGGTTGGTTGGTTGTTCCAGCAGGAGGACTTTCCCTGCCTCATTTGAAATTAATTTTCATGGCACTTTTACCGTTGGCTTCTTCCATGCCCCTCCCCTTGCTTCCGATTGAATGAATGAATTTTAATTTTGTAAATGAAGCATTTTATATAAAATTGATTCCCATGTGGGTGCGTGAGAGTTTTTCCAACTTATTTGCGTGTGTGTGTGTGGGTGTGTGCTTATGAGACCGACAACAACAAAGTTTTCTGATTTTCCCTGATGTGATTTTCCAGGATATTTTTATTGGCTTTTTATGGTAGAAGTGAACATGGAAGTCGGTTTTCTTCCGGGACAGCCTTTTGCTTAGCTTAAAGCACATTTTGTCCTTCGGTTAAACGCCTTCAATAATACATACAACAAAATGGGGACCCTTTTTCAGGCTCTATCCTTTTGAAAAAACAAATCCTGGCATTGTAAAATATTCAATTATACCGCCCTAGACCCAGGTTTGGATGATCCGCCCATTTACATACAAAATGCGATGGCTGGAACGTGCCCCGGCCACGCCCCGGTAATCGGAACAATTGCACTTTGACAGAAAATGCAAAAACATTTTAAGCTCTCGTTTCTCATTTATTTGTAGCTTGTTTCTGTACCCCCCGCCATCGTCCATTTGGCACCTGGCCACACATCGAAATTCATGAAAATTCTCCTCAGAACTAAATGGGTTTCTGTTTCCCTCGCATTTGTTGCCGTAGTGCCCCTCGTTTTGTCCAGTTTTCAGTTACTTTTTCAATGGCGAACCGCTTGATTTGCTGTCTGTTGTTTCTGTTGTTTCGGTCCATATTGTGTCACATCTACTATGGCATCCCCAACCCATCCCTTCCCATCTATGGGGTTTCAACATAGTGGCATAGTGGTTCTATTTTGTGGGTTCAGCAAATGAAATGGAAGCGACCAGAATAATGGATTCAATTGATTGGTATGTCAGTGGAATGCATCGAGTGAAACGAATTGATTTATTCCGCTAACAATGCGGATAGGTAAATGTACGAAAACGACT